CACATGGTCATAGAGTGTCCGAATCACGGGGTGGTTTTCCATGTTCTGCTGTGCAGTCTCGTTCATCATGACCTAGGCCAACAAGAGGAGGAGACAAAGTATACTATCTTGAACTACAGTAAACCATCACTGGCCTATACCACACACACTCTCCACAATGAGCAACAGAACACTATTATATTCTAGGCTTTTTACCTCTATTGGCATGGCACTTTTGGCCAACATTCTCTCTGTGTCAAGTATCTTTATGGAAGCATCAGCAGACCCAGTGGCTATCAGCTGCCCGTCTCTACTGTAGGTTGCTACGCGGCAGGGTCCTTTATGGGATGTGACGTAGCACGTTTCATACTCAGAAGCCTCTGGGGACATGGTCTGGACATCTGCATCGAATTCCAGGTCTATGCCTGTGCCAGGAGCAACCGTATCTGAACGACCAATTGCATACTGGACTGCTGTGTCATCGTTTTCCATCCCTGAAAGAAATCAAAATCAAGAACATGAGGAAATAGCATAAAGGCCAAAATGGAGATATTCACCAGTGTCAATCTGCAATTCCTTTGAGGTCTATCACACTTAAAATGGTACAAAACTAGACTCTGTCCAGGCCACCCAGGGTTGATGGAAGGTTGGGCACACACAGCCTGAGTTACCACTTTAACTGCCACCAAAAAGCAGTTTACTCTTTTATTATTTCCCCATTTTAAATATATATGTGTGTGTGTTTTGGAAGTACTGGGATTTGAACTCAGAGCCCTATGATTAGTAGGCTGGTGTGATACTACTAAGCCACACCTCCAGCTCTAGTTCTCACTTATTTTTAGGATGGGGTCTTGCTTCCTGCTTAGACCAGCAGTATACACATAATATAGGCTTCCCGTTGTTGCTGGGATGACAGGCAGGTGCTAGTGTGTTCAACTTCCCTGTGTTCGGATGGAGTCTGTCTAGGCTGGCCTGGAACTGCAAATCTTCTCAATCTCAGCCCCCCCAGAGCTTAGGATGACAGATATGAGAAGCTGTATCCAGCTGTGGGCTGAGTCTCTTGACCATTTTTGCCTAGGCTGACATTGAACCATGATCCTCATTCTCAGCCTCCCAAGTAGCTAGGATGGCAGGCATGAGCCACCAGCAACCGGCTCCAAATCTCAGTATTTTTAAGGTTGATGTCTGTTAGCAGCTCAGAAGTTCATTAATTCAGTAATATGCTTTAACGTTAGTGAAATGTTTGAAAAAATGATTAAGTTGAAATATATCATGCTTAATCTAAAAATATATCATGCTTTAAGTTAAAAAATAACCTGACATATCACACAAATAATAGTTACTGGCACTCGAAAAACTAGAACTATGTAGAAGAAAAGAAATATGACCTTGGAGTCTTAGCACCCAGAGATAACTTTTTATAATTGTGGCACAAATCCTTCTGGCTCTCTTACCATTCATACAACTTAGTTTTCAAAAGGGACGCAGACCTGCTACTGTGCAGCAAGTTGTGACTGGCTTGGCCACGTCACACAGATTTTGTGTTCACATTATCATAGTTATGTTCAATTTTATGGGTATTTAAAATTTTTTAGCCAATCCCATATCGTGGGGCTTTTTTGTTTATACCTTTCAATTCCCTTGTGATAAATCATCACGATTCGCACCACCAAGTCAAAGGAAATCAACATGTTCAGTAATTCAGTATTTTATTGAATGGAAGGTAGGCACAAGGATACACCACTGAACAAGACAAGGACCTCACTTTATTACCAAGGTAGTCTTTTATTTTTGGTGGGGAAAAAGAGGGGTTTGGAGGGCAGGAAGATTAAGGATTTTAAGGAAACCCAAACAATAAAGGAACTCTTGGACAAGAATTGTTACAATTTAACAAAAAGCAAGAGAATTTAAGGGATTAGTCTGAGAGGTGAAGAGGAGTCTCAGGTAACAGATGAGCTGAGACTTGAAGGAAGTAGGCAATATAATGGCAGAGTGGTCCAGAAATGGGTAACACATTAGAACAGCTTAAAGTCTTTATTACCTGGACTTCATATAATCCATCAGTAGCTAGAGTTGTACTTGTCACATATTACACAGTAAAACTACACAAGAATAATCTTGTGGACAGATCTAAAAGTTCTTTATGGGGTCCACACACTGACATTCACAAGATACCTAGTTTGATGAGGTGCAGGAGCTGCTCGGAGGGGGCACACACTGACTGAGGCTTGACTTCATTGATGAGGCCATTGGCGATGCTGATGTAGCCATCGTAGAGCAGCTGGCTGATGATCAGCTTGTAGAGCTGCTGGCGGTCCTTCAGGCCCACTTTGGTTCTATACATCTTGGAGAAAAAGACAACTTCCCTGCCAGCGGCAGAGAGGAAACAAGGAAGTGAAAAACAGTGAAAGGCAGAGGCACTAACTAGTAAATCTGAAGCAACACAGGTGTCTTTGGTTAGACTTACATTCCAGCTAGACTAGCTGCATCATCTTTGGTTAGTGACCTCATTGTTCTTAGCCCAGGTTCTTTAGCTGTTAAATTTCTGGAGGTTAAACAACATGGTGTGTGTAAAGCACTGAGCTGAAATGATTCAAGTAGTGTCAGCGTGTTTATAGTAGAACCCCACATCAACTTTTCTTCTCTGCCAAACTATCCAGCTGCACAAGTTTTATTCTTTACTGTTAGCCCTGAATCTTACATTTCTTCTTTTTAAACAAACACCAACTGGTGTTTGCAACAGACAAGACAGCTTGTCTTATTGTTATATGGCTGGCTCCTGTTTCCACCAGGTGAGCTGTATGTTTACCAGGGACTGTTAAGTTCATCAGTAAAACCTGTTTTCAAGCAACTGAACTTATTGTAATCATTCAACTTAACCAATACAAATGCAAAAAGCTACTGTGTTATGAAAACTCAACCACTAAATATTTTGGAAAGGTTCAAAGTGAAGTTATGTTAAGAAAATGTACGAGGAGCTGGGAAGGTGGCTCAGTGGTAGAGTGCTTGCCTCGCACAAAAGAGGCTCTGGGTTTGATTCCTCAGCACCACGTAAGCAGAAAAAGCTGAAAGTGGCGCTGTGGCTCAAATGGTAGAGTGCTAACCTTGAGCTGAGGGACAGCGCCAGGGCCCAGAGTTCAGGCCCCACAATCGACAAAAAAA